ATTTTGGTGTTTAGTTTAGAGTTTTGGTTTTTTTTTTTATTTCCACATATACTAATCCTCTATCAGATGTAGAGCTGGCAAAGATTCTCTCCCATTTTGTGGGCTTCCTCATTACCTAACTGTTTCCTTAGCAGTACAGAAGCTTTGCAGTTTTAGGAGGTCCCATTTATCAACAGTTGGCCTTAGTTCCTGACCAAAGTCATCGCCTATACCTATATTATATAGGGTGCTCCCTATGTTTTCTACTAGAAATTACAGTGTTTCAGGTTTCACATTGAGGTCTTCGATCCATTTGGAGTTGCTTATTTTGTTTCTGAGACAGGGTCTCTCTATGCAGTCCTGGAATGCACTACACTATGGAGATTGGGCAGATCTCAAACTCAAGTTCTGCCGGCCTCTGCCTCCCTGGTACTGAGATTAAAAGTATGTCACCACACCTGGTGCTGGAGTTGATTCTTGCACAGAGCGACAGACATGACTTTGCCATAACATTTGTTGAGATAAAGTCTTTCCTTCAGTTTGTATTTTTGGCATTTTTCAAATCTCAATAGGTATATTTGAGGGATTACCATACCTGCACTCAAGTTCCATTATAGACCTAGCATAATAAAAACATTATGGTGCTGGTACAAAGAAAGATACAGAAATCAAGGGACTAAATTAGTAGATCCAGTCCTATTCTGCATACTCTAGGCTACCTGGCTTCTGAGTTTCCACCTCCCATTTCACTGAAGGAACGCTGTGTTTACAGATGCCTACCACTGCATTCAACCTTTTATGAGAGCTCCTGTAGTGATAGTTCATTTGTATTTTAATAAATAAGGCTTGCTTGAGGATCAGAAAAGTAAAACAGCCACATTGGCCAGTCTTACAGACCAAGCAGCAATGACATACCCCTTTAATCCCAGTAGCCACAATGAAGCATAACTTTAATTCCAGTAGCCACACTAATTTGCCATAGAAACTAGGTGGTAGTTGTGCACGCCATTAATCCCAGAACTAGAGAGGATCATACAATGGAAGGACACAGCTCTCAGTCTCAGTCTCATTCTGAGGTTCCTGGAGGCAGGATCACCATCTCAGACTAAGGTAGAGGTAAGAGCCAGTGGCTGGCTGTTTTGCTTTTCTGACCTTCAGGTTGAACTCCAATTTCTGTCTCTGGGTTTTTATTCATCGTGCTTCAGGCTCCAAGAATCAAACTCCAGTCATTAGAATTACACAACTAATGCCTTTGCCCACTAAGCTATCTCCCTGGCTTGATAGTAACAGTTTTAAAAATTACTTTAAGATTTATTTTTATTTCATGTGCATGGGTGTTTTGCCTACAAGTATGTATGCATATTACATGTGTGCACAATATCTGTGGAGGTCAGAAGAAGGCATTGGTCCCCTGGAACCAGATGGTTACAGATGGTCTTGAGCTATCATGTGAGTGGTAGGAATTGAATCTGGGTCCTCTAAAAGAGCAACTAGTGCCCTTAACCACTGAACCATCTCTCTAGCCTCCAATATTTTTTATGAGACATGATCTCATAATGTAGCACCATCTACCCTGAAGCTTGATATGTAGACCCGGCCAGCCTTGGACTCAGAGAGATCTTCCGGCTTCTGCTTTACAGGTTCTGGGATTAAAGACCTGTGCCACTATACTGGGCTATGTCGATTGTTGGCTTTTTTTTTTAGGCTTTTTTTTCTAGACAGGGTTTCTCTGTGTAACAGTCCTGGCTATCCTGTGATGGAGGAAGGTCATTGGCTAATAAAGGAACTGCCTTGGCCCATTTTATTGGTTAGAACTTAGGTAGGTGGAGTAAACAGAACAGAACGCTGGGAGGAAGAGGAAGTGAGCTCAGACTCCACAGCTCTCCTCTCGGGAGCAGACGCCTCAGAGAGACGCCATGCCCTGCTCCCAAGCAGACGCATGCTATGAAGCTCCGACCCAGGATGGACATAGGCTAGAATCTTCCCGGTAATACCGGTGCTACAGTTTATTAGAGATGGGTTGATCGGGATGTGAGAATTAGCCTGTAAGGGCTAGAGCTAAAGGGCCAAGCAGTGTTGAAATGAATACAGTTTGTGTGTTGTTATTTCGGGTAAAGCTAGCCGTGCGGGCGGCTGGGGTGCTGGGGATGCAGCCCCGCCACTCTTATTACTACAGTCATGGATGCCATTTTGTAGACCAGGCTGGCCTCAAACTCACAGAGATCCTGCCTCTGTCTCCTGAGTGCTAGGATTAAAGGTGTGTGCTACCAAGCCTGGTTGATACTTTTATTAGGTATATAAATTATGTATAAAAGTAGGTATCCTTTCTTAGTTTGTCATAAATCACCTTAACTCCAAAACCAAGTTTATATACTCATGAAAAAATGTTTACAGCACTTTGAGTGGGAGTTTTATACTCTGAGATTTCATATATACCTAACCATATATCAAAAGTGAACTCCCAATATTATTACTCTATACCACTTAAAGAACATTAATTGCTAAAAATTGATAAGGAAAGAAGTAAAGATACAAACAGTCAAGAATAGCATAGAAAAAGTTGCTAAAGAGTGACCTAACTGCCACTACCAAATGGCCTGGGTATCAAATCATTTTACTGGCTTGCTCTATCAAATCTTACAGTATAGATGGAGAATAAGTGTATTATTTAAATTAACCCAGAAATCAAGTTCACAAGAATAAGGAACGATAGTACATTTGAAACAGGATTATAAGGAATCATGAGGATAGCAACTACTTGCTCATATGCACTCCAGAATCTGGGTAGGCATTGCAGCCAATAAAAGAGAAAGATAATAGTGAGCCTGACCCACCAGAATGCTCAACAAAGCTCCATGTATCTTTCTCAACTCTGATTTGTCATATACTATTGATACTATCATTAACTGCTATAGCTTTTAAAAAAATACTTGATAACATGTATAAGAATCTTCAAGAAGTTCATATCCAGAGGGACACAAACAAAGCAAAAAGCCATGAATGTGGGAAACAGATTAGTTGTGAAGCAAGGGTGCACAGGGGAGGGAAGGAGATAAGAGTACAGTGGCTGAGAGCAGAACAGAATGCATGGCATATATGTATGAAGTTGTTAAAGAACAAATTTAATTTCTAAAGTATCCATATGCTTTAATCAAATAATACCATTCTTAAAAACCAACAGTAATCTTTGTGCATTGCAGGTAATGATCGTGCAATTATGTAAATATACAAATAATCATTGAATTGTGTATTTAACATGAGTTATGTTTTTTAATTAGTATATAAACTAACTGTTTTCTCGTGGCATTTTCATACATTGTTTTGATTGATTCTCCACTCCTTCTCCCCCATCTCTCTGACCTCCTGTTTCCCCACTGTGTTCATTTACTCCCAATATTTTACTTCCACTCTATTATCTCATGTGTTCTATTGTCTTCTACAACCCATCTCTTGAAACCTCCCTTTCTCTACCATGAGTTTACTTTATGGTTTATAAACTGTGCTTCAACAAGCTGCTGGAAAAGTCATACTAAAAATAATCTCAAATGCAGACGATACTATGCCAGTCGCTGCCCTGCAACTAAGTGCACTATAAATAGTTGACAGAGCCAGCTCACTAAAGTCTTTTCGACTTCACATCACCTGAATAGCTACTTCTTTGTCAGGTTGATACCGGAAATGCAGACGTGAATGGCATCATAACTCTAGAGGAATTCTGAGGCAAGTAAGATGTCAACAAAAGCACAGAACAAGTTAATCCAAGTAGAGCTGGAACAGTAGAAAGGAGTTAGGGAAGCGGTCCCTGAGCACCTAGCACACAGAGATCTGCGGCTGGAACATGGTCTGTTCCACACACAGCTTGATCTCTTGGGAAGCAGAGAATCAAGTAACCACCAGAGAAGGAGGACAACAAGGAGAAGAGGGGAGTGAGAGAAGGGAAGGGAGGAGAGGGAGAAGCCACCCATTCTCGAGTACTCATCTGAACCAGGAAGAGGATAAAGGAGGTCTTGAGTTACCATGTGGGTACTGGGAATTTAGTCTGGGTCCTCTGTGAGAGTATTAAGTGCTCTTACCCACAGAACCATCTTTCTAGCCCAAGATATCCTTATATGAGACAGGGTTTTATTATGCAGGACTAGATATCCTGAGAGATCTTCCTCTCTTACCATACTGGGCTTGTTAAGATATTTCATTAGGTATATAAATTACTTACGACAGAACACATTCTTAGCCTGCCACAGAATACCTTAGTTTCAACTTAAGCATCCTTCCCAATAGCCGGGGAAGCTCCAGTTTCTCCCATTGGGTCACTTAGCATTCTTCCTCTTCACTACTGGAGCTATGCCAATCTGGGTGGGTTTTATCTTCCCAGTTCTTCCCTGAGCATGGGCAGAATAGGTTGAGAAGATTAGAAAAAGATGCAAATGAATACAACAAACCCCTCTCTGAGACCTTTTTGCTAGTGATTTTGAGCCCTCTCAAGTTGCTTAGCATCTGATTGGGGAAAAAGACATAAAGCAATTCAACTAGGACACGATGTGATAAACTCTGGAAGGGGAGATAGTTCCCAAAACGGGAACTATATCCTATGTGGGTTGGGGGGGGGGGTTCTCAAGGGTGATAATCTGAACTCAAGAGACAATGCAGCAAGAGGTTAGATAGATAAAGCACTGGAGGTTGGAATTATTATAGTTCTATTTATTACATTAACTAACTGATCGATTTTGTGTGGGAGAAGAGCATGTGTGCCACAGCACATGTGTGGAGGAGAGAGGGTAATTTGCAGGAGCTGGTTTCCTCTTTCTACCATATGGTTATCAGGGATAGGACTCAGGTTGTCAGACTTGGTGTCCAGCACCTTTACCCACTGAGCCATCTTACCTGTCTACTGTATCTCTATTTTAAACACCTTCCAGAAGAATTGGAAGCCATCTTCAATTGTTAAAAGATGGTTAAATATATCACAGTATACCCACAGTTTCCAATTCTGTGCGGCAGGATTGGTACATCAAGAGATGTGTGAAAAGATGTCCAATCTCATTAGTAATCTAAGAAAAAGAAACAAAAGCAACACAGAGATTATAGGTACTTTCAGTGCCTATAATTTTAACAGTGATTTATGCATTTGACAATAGAATTGGTGAATTATCCCGCGCATGTGTGTGTATCCCCTCTCCCTCTTCTCTCACCACTTGGTGGGGAAACATACTATATGAATAAGGAAAACTGACAGCATCAAAATTGAAATCTCTTTATGCCTTTATACCAGAAATTAAAGTTTTATTTACTTATTTTATTTCTTGTGAGGGGCGGGGGCGGGAAACTACAGAACACATGTGAAGGTCATAGGAAACTTTGTGGAGTTGGTACTCTCCTTCCAACTGCATATGGTTCCAGGAATTGAACTCGGGTTCCCAGGCTTGCATAGCAAGCACTTTCACCCTGCTGAGCCATCTCATAGGCCCAGGAATTTTCTTTTAGTAGGAACAGTTCCATAAATGGTCAAAGTAATTTACTTGAACATTATTCCTAATATAGAGAGGGAATTCCTAGGACTGTTCTAGATTTCCATTAGTGAGGGAATGTCTTAATGAATTATAATACCTTTGGATTCCTTAATATTGCAGCTCCACTAAAGAGTGGATTCACATGGAAAGACCTCCATTGTTTATCGGCATATGACCATGTGGATAAAGGAAATGGCAATTTGTGGACCATCATCTTATTTATGCAGATATAGTATTAATGATAACAACTTGCCATAGAGATGAAATTACCAGTTATGACTTAGTCCCATTGCTCTAGGCTTGAGAAAGGAATGGAGAATAAGAAATGAGAGAAAAAGAGATAAGGAGTAGGTACTAGAAAACAGAAAACTCCAAAATTTTAACTGTACTTTCTGAGTTTGTAGCTGGGCCACATACTCTCTAGTTGGCTCATTATCAGTAGGTTTTCTTCCCCTCCCAAGCCTTAGTTTCTTTATCTGTAACATAGAGATAACAGTGCCTCTGCCTTAAGGTTCGTATGAGGCTAAGTAATCAATGTAAAGCAATTAACAGCATGAGGTACAAAGTAATGGCAATCAACACTAGCTGTTATTTCTCCGACTAGGCACTGTGCCAAATGTTCACACATTTATTGGAGGGATACATCTTTTGAATTGACACAGCTTCCCATGGAGGCCGACAGCTTAGAACTTTAAGAGCAAGTGTTTTCTAGGTCTGACTTCAGGGCCCTCTGCACATGTACTAGCCTTTCTGGGCTTTACGGTCGAGGTATTCAGGTTGATTCTGCTGAAGGTGCCCTGGCTCTATATGGATGGTCTGATCTCAAAATCAAATAACTAAATTTGATCACCCCAGAGGGAGAAGAAGAAAACAGAAAGGGAAAAGACAGAACAGAGGGAGTGTGTAAGTGAAAGGAGGCTACTCTGTTTTTTATCTTTAGCAGAGGCCAAGGAAACCTTAGGGCCAAGGCAGAAGGCGGGTGGGCGGGGCTGAGCCAGAGACAGGGGTAAACTCTGCCTTCTGGCCCACAGCACTCACCGTCTTTGGTTCGTCCTCAGTGCAGGGCAACAGGTAAGAGCTGCTTCCAGCCCTCTTTCTAGGCTCCCACCCACACCGCTGCATGTTGACTTTGGCTGACTAGACCTGACTTTGGAATTGAACAGAAACTGTCGCTTCTGTTTTGGGCTTTCCTCTCTGCCCTCTCTCTCCTTTATTAGTTTTCAGTATCACTCATCTCACTCACCGGGCATTCATACTCTCTCTTCTCCCTCAATGTAATTTTGTCTGTACCCCTCCCCTCCCCCTCCCTGTCTCCTTCCTCAACTCTGTATCTTAGTCTCCTGTTTCTCTTGTCTCTTCTCTGTTTCTCTAGAAGGCATCTTAACATTTCTTCCAAATTTCTCTCCCTCCATTTGACCCTTTTCTGTCCGCTTGGCCTAGAGCAGAGTGCAAGAGCCTTGGGGGGGGGGGGGTCAGATCTAGGGACGGAGAACTGGAGGGTTTGGTGGAGGGGGTTAAGAATGCTAAGGCAAGATGGGAGGGATCAAGAGGCTGAATAATTAGCAGAAATAAAGGGAAGAGGGTGGAAAAGGAATGCTGTCATTGTGCAGAAAGGCAAGAGACTTGTGTTGTCTCATCTTAATTCACCCTGAGACCCCAGGCAGGCCATTTATCCTGTGGCAAGAGCACCTGTCCACAGTTTCCACAAATCTCTTAGTTTTGGCTTGGGTATCTAAATTCTTCTGTTTCTGTTCTCTTCTGATTTCCAGCGGTAGGAAATGGTACTAGGAGAGGAGGTAAGGCCTGATGTTTCCAGCTCCTGGAAGAAGTAACAGGCTCTCTCTCCTCCAGACTTAAATGATTCTTAACAGCAGGCCACAAGTAATGGGAGCCAGGGGAAAGAAACTCTGCAAGGGTGGCTTCTGACTTCTCCAAGGGGATGGAGTCGTGGCTGGCCTCTCCGGCCTATGGGAATGCAAACGGACGTAAAATTGTAGAAGTGCAGAGATGCAGGACAAACCTTTAAGGAAGGATGCCACCTGGCCTGAAAATTCACCACGATCTCTTTGATTTTGTTTTAGACAATCTCTTCTATGCAGTAGGATGTGAAAATCATTTAATGGTGGAATTAATAAATGTTCAATAGTACCTCAAATCCTACTTTAGAACATTTGAAGAAAGCCATTTGCCATAAAAGATAAATGCATAGTAAAGGGGCTTGTATTACTGTAGCAGAGTGGCTTGGTGTCTAGAGTCAAGCCCATCAAGCTCCCAGCTAAGAAAATATGTAATGTTTGGATCATGGATCTACAGTGTCTAAGCTAGGGGTCTCTTGAGCCAGACTGGCTGAGTTGAAACCCTGCTCTTTTTCACTTACCAGGTCTTTGACCGGGGTGAGTCATTCGATCTTTGGGGGCCTCAGGTTCACAACATTGTCCTGAGAAATGAATAAGTCACTGTATTTGGAGCATTTACAACAGTAAGAGCTCGGTTAATGTTTGAATATCGGAACCAGAAGGGAAATTATGAAATTTCCTATCTAACACAATGTCTGTAGAGAAACGAAGGTTCAGAAGGTATGTGAGGGGTGGGGAAGGCCAGGGGGAACCCAAGTTCACACACAGTAAATTATAATAAGAGAAAAAAATTTCATCTCCAGCTTTTCATACTTGGCTTGACATAGTCAGGGTGCGACTCCTTGGCTCCAGAGTTTAGGTTTGTTACTGAGAAAAGATCTGCTACTGAGTCTTGACTGACTTGGAAATATACATCACAGGCTGCCATGGGCTTCAGGATTCTGCTGTCCCAGCTTCCTGCGTGTCAAAATGCCCAGCCAAGAGTCTATGTTCTTAATACCCTCAACTGCTTGAAAGGCTGCCTGCATTCAACTTCAGCCATTCCCTTCTCTCATTAAGTAGTGCTCGGAAGTGGACAAAGTGCCCAAAATAACCACACACTACAAAGTTATGGGTCATAATGATTCCCAGGAAGATCAGGAAAGACAAGAGAAGGTGTAACTGAAGCTCAATGGTAACTCAAGAACTCAATCCATGTCAAGAAGTACTCTGTATTTTCCCCAGGACCCTCACTAGAATAGCTCCATAGAGATGATGAGTATATTTGACCTTTTCAGTTTCTGTACATGGGAAACAGGTCTTCATCCCCCATCATTTCAGAGCAGGCCTATATTTTGCCTCTGGTCTCAAGGGCCTTCCTTCTTACTATATACTTCAATATTGTTGCTTTTGTTGTCAGTGTTGATGCCAGAGAAGTTCATAGGAACTTGTAAGGACCTGGGCTATGCATCTTGACTCACTACAGATTGGCAGAGGCAGCCTTGGCCAGATGCTCAGACGTGATTCCAGGAAGGGGTTCTTCTTCTCTCCCACACCCTGGGCTCATCTTAGGGAGTGGTCAGACTCCTGAGGCGATAAACTCTGGGGGCTTTATCTTTGGTCTGCAGGCTCAGCCTTGAGTGCTTTAACCTTCATGGGCAGGCAGTCAGAAGGGAGACTCTTATTTCTAGATATGAGGTAGGCACTGGATCCAATCAATGGACTGATGTAGACATAATTACCTCACATTTGACGACTCATCAAAGCCAAAACCAGAAAGGAGAAGTGCCTTGCCCTAAAACATTGAACAAAGAAGCGAGGAAACCAGAATTTAAATAAGAAAATCAAACTTTTTGTGCTGAAGGGTTCACATGGTTTTTGTTGCTTTTGTTTTTTTTTTTTTTTTCATTTAATCCTTCCCATCAGCTGTCTGCTTCTTGCTGTTAGAGGGCCCATATGCACAGGCCCACAAACTAACTCAGGCTGCTGGGACAGCCTGGGACAAGGAGGGAGGATGTTCTAAGATGGAATAACATGACTGGGTTGCTTTGTAAAGTAAGAGGTGTGTGATTGCTCTGGGACATTAGGGAGATGAAAGAAGTTACCAACAGGATAGGCCCAGTAATTCCTCCTACTCCTTTGTCCCTCCCATAATAAGGCTTTATACACTGAGGGTGCTCAGAGACTGCTCAGTAGCTTTCTTGGCAGAGCTGGGGGCTCAGTCGTCCCACTTTCTCTCACATCTCCCCTTTTGTATTATTATTTATCTTGTCCACCCTTTGATTCTGGCTCTACAATTGGCCCATTTCTTCCAATCTGTTTCTCACTCTTGTTCTCTCTGTCTTTCTCTCAATCTTACCTCTTTATATGTTTCCTCCTCCCCTATACCCACCTGTTTCCTTTTTAAATACAGATTTACTATTTTAAATTATGTGTATGTGTGTGGTTCTGTGGAGAGGTGTGTATATGTGAGTACCAGGCCTATGGAAGCCAGAGACATCAGATCTCCTGGAGCTGGAGTGACAGGCAACTGTGAGCCATACTACATGAGTACTGGAGATCTAACTTGGAAGAACAGTACTTACTCTGAACCAGTGAGCCATCTCTTCTGCCCCTATCACTCTCTTGATCTTTTGATTTTTTTTTTAAATCCACTTATTTTTTTCAAGCAGTTTCTCTTCCACCACCCCCAGTAGGGTCATGGTCCCCTAAGTCTTTATTGTCTAACCCTCCCCTTTCATCTTGGTGTCCCACTCTGCACTTGATGGATTCTTTGCTGTACTGCTTAATTTTCAGTCTTTATATATTACTCTAGGCTACACAATTTCCCTTATGTATCTCTGTTTGTCCCTACTGGTATATTCCCTGTTTCTCTTTCTCTTGTCTTTTTATCTCTCCCTATCTTCTGTATTTCTCCACGGCTGTTTTATCTCTACCTACCTTGTTCCCTTCTTTCCAGCTTTGAAGTCTTTCTCAGTTTCTGATCTTCCTCCTCCACCATCACACTCTTGTTTTCTTTCTTCTTTTATCTTTATCTTTCTGAGGTTGTCTTGATTCGTCCCCTTCTTACCTTCTCTCTATATTTAAGATCATAATTATTAACTTACTCCAAATTTCAGCCAACACTCACCGACAGTTACATGTCATTTGTTCTGTCTTTTCTATTGATTCCCCCTATCTTTCTCTACCTTGGCCTCTGTCCTCTTTTCTGATCCACACAGATTATGTCTTTCAGCCTTCTTAGGTCTTATTTTCATCGCCTCCTTTATTTATGTCTAACCAAAAGTCAGGAGAAAATTCAAACACATCAAAATATCAACCTAGTGGTACACAGCCTATAGGGCGCATGCCTGCCCTTTCCTGTTTCCTGGATCTCCTGAAGTTGACAGCTGGCTTCAATCTCTTTCTCTGTCATTGGTAGAACATTCTCAAGACAAAGCAGGACACTCCCCAGGAGCTCTGGTGAATAGTATCTGTTTGCAGTAAAGGCCAAATTTTCATTTGGTGGAGGATAATAGTCTTTGTTTTGCTTTTTTTTTTTTGTTTTTAAGATAGGGTTTCTCTGTGTAGCCTTGGTTGTACTAGAACTCACTTTGTAGCAGGCTGGCCTCAATCTCACAGAGATCCACCTGCCTCTGCCTCCCAAGTGCTGGGATTAAAGGTGTGCACCATGACGCCCTGATGAGGACAATAGCCTTAGAAAGACAGTGACCTCAAGTGTTGGTCAAAGGTTGACTGTCAGATGTCATTCACAAAGGCACATCGGTGATGCTCACAATCACTAAGCAGCTGGTGTCAGAGTAAGTCAGAGTCCGGGTTTTCTGATCTCTATTTAGAAATCTCTCCCTTGTCCCTTTATCTACTGGTGTCTCTCATTTCTCCCTCATATTTAACATTACGATTGTTTTCTCAGAAGGATAATAGAGGACTCTGAGGAAGGCAACAAACTTTGAATGGGAAACTAAAGGCAAAGAATTAAACACAGGCACGACTTACCTGGTTTTTGGCCTCATGATGAAAATCTCCTCTCTTCCACAATTTCTACAGGACTCTGGGCTCAAGATGGTGGCAGCAGCTGTGTTGCTACAGTCCTGTCCAGTGCTCTCTAGGGGCCCCCGAGGCTTCCTAGGTAAAGTGGCTAAGACTTACCAGTTCCTATTTGGTACTGGACGCTGCCCCATCCTGGCCACCCATGGACCAACTTGTTCTCAAATCCACCGTAAGGCAACCAAAGCTGGAGGAGGTAAGAAGAGGTTATTGGCAGAAGGGAATGTCTGGGTCATAAAGACAAGATTCTAGGTCTGATTATCATGACTTAATAGCTTAGAGAGTTCAAGACAGAATGAATTGACCCAAAACAATAGACTCTGGCTGTGTCTTCTGCCAGTGTCTTTCTAGAGCAGGGGTTCTCAATTTTCCTCATGCTGTGACCCTTTTTTATAGTTCCTCATGCTGTGGTAACCCCCAATTATAAAATTATTTTTATTGCTACTTTGTAACTATAATTTTGTTGCTGTTATAAATTGTTTTTATTAATAAATTTATTTGTTATTTATTTTACATCCGAGCCATGGTTTCCCATCCTTCCTCTCCTCCCAGTCACTCCCACCACACAACTCTCTGTCCTCATGCCCCAAGCCACTCTTCCTCTGTTTCTGTTCAGGAAAGGGCAGGCCTTCCATGGTTATCAACAAAAACATGGCATATCACGTTGCAGTAAGACTAAGAACCTCCCTATGTATTAAGGCTGAGCAAGGCGGCCCAGTATGGGGAGAAGTGTCCCCCAAACCAGTAAAAGAGTCAGAGACAGATCCTGCTCCCACTGTTAGGAGTTCCACAAGAGGACCAATGAATTGTAATATAAATTTCCAATATGCAGGATACCTGCTATGCCATTCCTGTAAAAAGATCGTTCATTACCCAAAGGGGTTCTGATCTACAGGCTGAGAACCGCTGCTATTGAGTCTTATTTTCATGTTCTTTGCACACAAACTATACTTCACCCATGCTAAAAGGTTAAAATTGCTCAAATTGATTTTCTTGTCCTATGATTCCTTGCATTTGCTTGTGACATATGACCTTCCCCTATACTATTATCTCCTCTCCTCCTTCTCATTCAACACTGAATTTGGGCATTTTTGCTCCTGCAAAGCCTGCCTAGACCCCTAGCCTAGCCAATACCACCTCTTAGTCCCATCCCTTAGATCTTCTAGATTTCATTTGTCCTGTCCTTTCTCCCATCCCACCGTTTCCAATGTATTGTCAGAGTATGCTACTTCTCCCTGCTTAGAAACTCTGTCAGCAATAAGACCAGATTCATTTAACTTCTCATCTGTATCATAGCCTGAGCTAGAGCTCTGGAATACAGTAAGTCTCAGTAATCATTGCTGAGTAGAATGTATGGCTAAGGAATGAACCTCGAATTACTCTCTTACCTTTATGTAGACTCTCCGTCTTGGGCCAAGAGCCATTGTCCTTTCATGATGTCAGAACTCCAAGATGGGAAGAGCAAGATTGTGCAGAAGGCAGCCCCAGAAGTCCAAGAGGATGTCAAGACTTTCAAGACAGGTTGGAGTTGACCTCCACCTCTATTCCTAATGATTGATCCCACTTTATCATACTCTGGGCTAAGCAAATCCAAGGGAAGACTGTATACATTCCATGATGGACAGTCTGAGTCTTTTGCAGGGAGTCATATGAGGCAGTTGATTAGGCCATGCACTGAAGTCCATTTCCTCAACACATACACAGGTACAAACTCCCGTAACTTTTAGCTGTCAGTCTAAAATGGGCCCTCCTCTCTCCCAGGCAGCTAAGTGGATTTCGAAGAACTGGGATTCCAAGTTTAGCAAGACCATATTATGAGAGTCTGGGTTTGTATGAAGGAAAAGGGGTAGAGAATAGATACACCCTTTAGTTTTCACACGACATAGTGTGAATTAATTGGCCTTTCTTCCCTGAAAAGTATTCTGAATTATCAATTTTATTAAAATGAATTCAAATAAAGTTTTGTTTTCAACAAATTATTCTTTATAAGGATAGAGAGTTCAAGAACAACCTAGACAGAGCACTCAAGACAATTCACACCTGGCCATCCTATTGGCATCTTTCACAGGTCACTTTGAATTATCACTAAGAACAAAAAAGTTAGAGACTAAAATTTAAGGATGTTCAAAAATGAAGACTAAAACACACCCATCTCTCAAGTGCAGGGCTTAGGGTGCATTTCCTGGTTACCTTACACAAGGGCAACTCTCAATGGGAAGTGAATCCCCTTAAGGAAGGCTTCCAGACATTCTAGGAGATGAGCGGAAGCTTACTTTGCAGAAGCATTCCCCGGGAGGCATCTCTACTTTCTAAACTTTATAGCTATGCATTACACTGAACCTAAAGAAGACAACAGATACTATCTCTTTTCCTCTCTTCACGCCAATGAATTCCCTATTCCCTTGTAGACCTGCTGAGCTCCTTGGATTCAAGCATCCCAAGCCAACCATTCCCTAGTTTCCAGGACCCAGAGCAGATTGAAAGGGCGATTACACACCTGATTCACAACAATATGACTGGTGAGTTTGTCAAGATGGAAAGAATGGGCATGGGAAGAGTGAAGTAGCTACTGAAAGGGTGCATGACACAGGATAAAAAAGAAAATGGGAATATTTTCTTAAACCAAAAAAATTTTAAAATTATGCATTAGTGCTGGTCTTGCTGGATCTGTGGATTTTGTAACTAAGTCACGTCATTCGAACACTTACCTCAATAGTTTATAAGGAAAAATAAATTACACTTATAGCAATGTAGTATTCCTAGCTTGTTATGAGGTCTCATTAAAAACTAAGCTTACCTCCATTATTTTTCCATATTTCCCTCAAAGTTTCTCACCCTTTCTGCCTCTTATATCCATTTTTCATAGTGGGATTGATTCATTTTTCTAGTATACAAATAAGGAATTATTTTTAAGAGATACAGAGAAATAAAGAGTAAATTATCATCTACCATTAACTTTTTGTTGTGTTTTCTCCCAGACACACCTTCCTATGGCTACACATACATAAGATAGAGAGACAGAGACAGAGAGAATTTCCCATCCACTCTCTTAATCATACTCATGGTTTTTCAGAACTATGACCCGATTACCTCCAGAGTTTACTGCGCTGCTTTGTTCACTTAAGAATACGACCTCATATCAATTATTACTTACTTCATGGCCATCAACACAGAGCTACATAAGGATCATTAATGGCTGAATTGTGTTCCATAGTGTAGACACGAAAGTATTCATTTAAACAAGAACCTGTAATTAAGGTTGTTGCTAATGCTTTTGTATTCCTCCACTTAAGGCTGCATGCTAGTTTTATAGCCATATGAATATACCCAAAGAAAATTCATGGTTTTAACTTTTTCATTACTTGAACCAATGTGTCACTTACTTCATGGGCATTTAATTGCTACATGACCTTGGTCAAGTTAGCTGATCTTTTTATGCCTTAGTTCCCTCAAACAAAAATAAAGATACTAATAGAACTTTCCATATAGTGTTGATGTGAGAAATCAATAAGTTAGCATCTTTATGGTTCCTGGAAGTAGGTTCTACATGTATTAGGCATCCATTAATGCTGGCTATGATAATATAATAAAACACTAGCTATTTTTAATTACAACCACTATTATTAATAGACCTCTGAGGACAGTATTATTACCACATACCAAATATTAGTGTTGTCATTAGATTCTCACAACTAAGCAAGGGAAGAATTCTAAGCTCCATTCTACATATGAGGACATTAAAACAAAAAAAGATGATTTTTTTAAAAAGATTTTTTTTAAAATTGAGTTGTTTTGGCTGGCATACCAAGTAATGAGTTTCACTTGGCATTATCATACACATGTTATTATATTTTATTCTCATGTGTTCCTCCTTCACCTGATTCCCCTTCTTTACCAGTCAGCCCTTTCTTTTTGCTTTCCTGTTACATGTACTCTATTGCCTTCTCTACTTCCCACTTCCCTTAAGATCTCTTCTACCACCTATGGTTCCCTTTCTAATTTTTGACCTACAAATACACATGTACAAACGTATACACTAAATACACAATTTTAAATTCAGGTCCCACATATATATGAAAGCACATATGGAGCATTTGTCATTCTGTCTGGCTTTTATTAACATAATGATTTTCAGCTATATCCATTTTCCAACATGACTTCATTTTTTACAGCTGCACAAAATTACACTGTTTTATATTTATCACATCTTCATTATCCAGTCATTTGTTGACGGCTGGCTCTGTTTGCTAGCAACTGTGCATAGTGTAGTTATAAACATGGGTGTACAAGTATCTTTGTAGTATGCTGACTTAAGAGTCATTTAGGTATATGCTTAGAAGTGATATGTCATACAGTAGTCCTATTTTTAATTGATTCTTTTGAAGTATTATTTTTATCGTTTTAAAATCATGCATGCATGCATTTGCTTCTGCATGCACATGTGTGATAATGCCCTTGGAAGCCAGATATACCGGATCCCCTGGAGCTGAAGTTAAAGGAAGTTGTAAGCCACTTGATGTGGTTGCTGAACACTTGACGCAGCATGAGCTACAGAGTC